GGATGTTGCAGGTGCCACTTTCATGGCAGCAGGCAGCTCCGCCCCCGAGCTTTTCACATCTTTGATTGGTCAGGCCTCTAGCAATGTTTTTCAGTAAGTTGTTGCTGTAAATAAGTCATCAATAAATAATTGTCTCTTCATATCAGGTGTGTTCATCACCAAGGGAGACCTGGGGGTGGGAACTATTGTGGGATCAGCTGTCTTCAACATCCTGGTCATCATTGGAGTTTGTGGAATATTTGCTGGACAGGTAGTATATGCATATGCAATACATTAAATATGAAACGTTACAGTTCTCGTGACTTTCCACCGTTCCTGCTTCACAGACCATCACTCTGACCTGGTGGCCACTCTTCCGTGACTCTATCTACTACATCCTCTCAGTGTTGGCCTTGATTCTGGTAAGCGGGAGCATGACTGTGTCTGAATGTTAAATTTATGATTTTAACCCTTATTTTCTATTAAATCGAACACTTAATTCATTTTTGTGTTTGTTTTTGTGCATTTCAGATCATATATGACGAAAAAGTAATTTGGTAAGTGTGCTAAAATCATAAAGAAGGTGTAATAATGCTCATTGACATTTAAGTGAACCAAACTTATAGCATATAATATCACTGTTGCAGGTGGGAGACTATAATCCTCATAACAATGTATGGAGTTTACATCCTTATCATGAGGTAAGTATCTAACATGTTTATTTATTCGACACAATAACAGTCGAAATGTAATTTATGTTAATATTTATGTATATATTCATTTATTTCTTTATTTTTAACATACTTAAATGTCATTTTCACATGATATAATATGAGTTTGTGTGTGCTTCTTTCAAGGTTTAACAGTCAGATTTGGGGCTGGGTGGAGCAGAGGTTTGGTATCCCAGGTCAGCCGTGTTTGATGAGCAGTCTGTGCAGAGATGTGTCGGTAGGAGAGGCAAGCCCACACTGTGACACCTCCATGATCCTCTTGAAGAAAGGTGTGTGTGGGTGGAGGGTGGAACTGTGTGGATCATACTGAGTGCTTGTGCATTATAAAGTATCACGTCTCTCTCTCTCTCTCAGGTCAGAATGCGGGTGGCCAGGACTCCCCGGTGGTGATGGTGGATGAGTTGATGAGTCTACACCCTCACCAGTTCTCCTTCTCAGAGGCAAGCCTCCGTGTCATGATCACGCCTCACTTCTCCCCCCGCACTCGCCTCAGCATGGCTGGACGCATGCTCATCACTGAGGTACTGGCTGGATGCTTGCTCGCTTTGTGCACGTCTGGATCTGACAACAGCATCTCCGTTTCTCAACCAAGAATATAAACTATCAGGCTAGTTTGATGTACAGTATGGATTATAGGAAGCTATTAGAGTTCCCATATATTCTTTATTAGTGTATCAACTTTGTCTCAAAAATTGATTATTGTCTTGTCTTCCAGTAAAAATATTTCAGTGTCCTTAAAACAAAATAAATTAATTTTAGAAATAAAATGTATAAGATATTAAGACTATAGAGCAAGAGAATACACTACCGTTGAATTGTTTGAGGTTGATACGATTTTTTGAAAGTAGTCGCTTATGTTCTCCAAAGCTGCATTTATTTGCTCACAGTAAAAACAGTAATGTTATGAAATAAAATTACATTTTAAAATAACTGTTTTCATATATTTTAATGTAATTTATTCCTGTAATGGCAATGCTGAATTTTCAGCAGCATATTTTCTCTAGTCTTGTGTCACATGATCCTTCAGAAATAATTTCTTCTTTCTTATTATTCTTCATTTCAGGTGTTGTCTTTCTTACATTTCTATTATTATCAATGCTGAAAACAGTTGTGCTACTCAGTAAATTTCAAAAGAACAGCATTTATTTTAAATATAAATATTTTGTAACATTATAAATGCACTGTAGAAAAAA